TATCTATCTATCTATCTATCTATCTATCTTGTCCCCGCCTATCTCCCCCCAATGGGGGACTCTGGGCGGCTTACAACATATTAAAACAATAAATAAATATACAGTTAAAATAATGGAAAATATGGCAAATGATCATAGAATGTTGTTTGAAGAATTACATTTTGTAGACTGAATCTTCATTCATAGGAGGAGAAACACTTGATGAATGTGGTTTGAAGTTTCTTTTGGCAGTTCGTCTTCACACTTTTATGACAACTTCTCTACCACCTGCTCACAGAGCCCAGCTATTGCACCAAGGTAATATTTTCTTCACTCTTTGTGTGATACTGATGCAAAATAGCATAACATTTTTGGAATTCATAGGTACAAATAGGTTTGTTTCTGAGGAAATGTGAGGTGGAGGTTTCTGAGGTGGAGAAACTCTGACATAATGCTGATCATGAAGAGAATCACTGAACAATTGAATATTATAGGATACCTAGGCTTTTCTGGGTGTTAACTGTTTTGGCTCTAGGGTGGGATCATCAAAGCTTTGTGAGTATAGGTGTATTTTTAAACAGTTAAGTACAGGGGGAAGGTGTTGGTTTTTGTTTTATTTTTGGCATACAGGATTAACTAATAAATATTTTGTCTTTTACAACTTTTTAAGTATAGCTATTTATTTGCAAGTTGTTAGTTGTTCATGCAAATTATAATACAGGTAGTCCCCAGTTTAAGAATGAGTTCTGTTCCCAAGGTCTGTCCTTAAGTCATATTTGTAGGTAAGCTGAAACAGTTAGTTGTATAATACTGTATAAGTAGTACTGTGTAATGAACTCGAACCATTGTGTTTTTAACTTGAATCATTGTATATTTAATTCAAATTTTACTACAGTAGGCTCTGTTTTTAACTATGGGTGGTGCATAAACCAGGCTTTCTTAACTTGGGGACTACCTGTAACTAATATGACGCATGTTACTTCATGTCACCAAATTTTTAAAAAATATTTAAGTATCAGAAAAAAAATCACTAAACCTTTTCAAGTTAATATAATTACCAATAATCAAGTAAATTGAATAATTATAAAGCTAATCATTTGTGATTATTTCAGGTTTGTCTTCAAGTCATTTTGCCTGGGCATTTCACTCGATTGCAGAAGAAGAACTTCTAAACATGCTTCCTGCAATCCAAAAAGGTGATCCAACATGGTCAGAACTTAGAGCTATGGGAGTAGGATGGTGGGTTCGAAATACCCATAATTTGCGCAGATGCATTGAGAAGGTAAATACAGTTTATAACAAACTAGCTTGTATCTTGCTATAACTTTCGTTTAGATAATAGAGTGCATGAAATATTTTTCAGAATTTATTTCTGGCTTTATTTTTATAAAGAAGGATGGAGTAAGTAAAACTGTAATTTTTTTTTTTTTAATGGATATACTTTGAAGAGAGGCCAGTGAACAACCAGATGTACTAAAGAGGGCTTAATCTCTTAAAATGAAAGTCTCTTCTATATTTACTTAACTACTGATTTGCCCAGCCAGTAATTTTGTAAAGTAAAAGTAAAGTCTCCTTTGAGTTGAGCTTGATTCCTGGTGACTACATGGACATAGACATATAGTTTCCTTGACAACAGTACAGAAAAAAATTATATTGTTCCAGAATTCCAGTCTGCATTCCCAGATGATTTCCTATACAAGTAAGAACAAGGTCTCACCTGCTTACAATCAAACCCAAACAAGGTGGGCCAAGTAGTGCCACCGCTGAGATTTCTTAGGAGAATATCCTACCTAGACAGTTGAAAGACAGATGTCATCTTTTAAATAGCCCATTGTCTTTAACCTATATGCATATGGTTTCTGCAATGTTTACATTGCTTTTTTTTTTTTCAGCAGCAGCAGAAATATTAATTGGATTTATTTTTGTAAGCTATTCAACTATTCCTAGACTCCTTCAGGTCAATTGGTGCTCCCAGTGACCAGATTGTGGGGTCCTCAGCAATTTAAGTACAAGATGAAAATTATAACTCTGTGACGTGATGATAGTTTTCAAAATTACCAGGCATGAATGCAGATAGAGTAAGCTTTTATTTTTCTCATGTTTATAGGTCCCCTTTATTTAAGCATTAGCAGAGTAGCTAAGAACTATCAGGAATTGCATTCAAAGGAGTGCCTGAGATTCCATGCAGGCAGTTGAGCAAGGAGGTGAAAAAGGGAGAACGTGCTCTCTAATTCTGTGCTAAGCTTGAAATTTAAGTGGGTGGCTAGAAGGTAAATCTCTTAGTCCATATACAAGATAAAATTATACTTCTTATAATGATCTATGGTTTTTGCTATTAAAGTAAAATCATGTATGATTTATAAGCAGTACTGGCTTGGCTTTCTCTGTCTATTAGACAAATTATTTCCAGTAATTTTTCTGGATGTAACTATGGCAATGCATTACATTTGTAACGACCAAATTTACTGTTATCCTTTCAGGTCGCTAAAGCAGCTTTTCAAAGAAACAATGACCCTCTAGATGCAGCCATTTTCTATCTTGCAATGAAAAAGAAGGCTGTAATTTGGGGATTATACAGGTATAATTTTGTTACAGAATTTAATTCAGTATACATTACAAGTAATTCTCTTGCATTTCTACTGCTTGATAGAATTTCTGAAGCTTCTATCATTTAAAATAACTGCTCAGTACTGTTGCTGTAAAGTTATTTAGTACAGCTGAGCTAACTTCAGTGCAAGAATTGGGAAATTTAGGAGCTTGACAATTTCTGGAGGTATTCCAGTACTACATAAAGGACATTTAGGAGCAATCCACCTATCCACAAATTCACTCTCTCTCCTTCATATGTATGCACATGTTTTTTCTATTAATTTGATTATAGCCATGTCAGAAATAGGATGGGTTACTCTAGTTTAATTAAGCATTGTAATTTGCAAACCATATCTTTGATCATCTCTTTCCAGGGCTCTCTACAACATATGAGGGTTGAATGAAAAGTAATGTCTCCATGTCTATAACTTAGTTAAATAGTTAATTTTAGTAAACAGGAAAATAATCCTTGAAATGAGCTCTTTTGTTACATGTGTTTACTTCTCCACATAAACACCACTGTTTACTACATACTTCTTCCAACAGTGGACAAACTTCTTAACAGCTGTCAGAAAAAAACTCCAACTGCTTAAACTATCTCTTTAAGCAGCTCCTCTCAGTCCTTTCTACATGTTTCCCCTCTGTCACTTTGAAACAACAGTGAACAAAGTTCAGAAGCACAGGGTGGAAATTTAGCTGCAATATGACACTGCAAGGCCACACACCTCATGAGCTACCCATGAGGCAGTTGCAAAGTTGAATTTCACCCTCTTAACCCACTAGATAGTCCAGGCTTGATGCCATGCAAGTTGCACATTTCCCAAAATTGAAGGCATACTTTGTGGGCAACTGTTTGACACAAATGAAGAAATGGAAAAACTGTCAGGACTTGATTGAAGAGACACAGTGTGATGATTTAAGCAGCTTTTCCATTGTTGGCAGAAGTGAGTAGGGAATGGTAGTGATTATGTGAGGAAGTAAATAGAGGTAACCAAAGAGCTCATTTCAAGGACTATTTTCTTGCTTTATTAAAATATCCCTATTTAAACTATAGTTATGAAGATGGAGACATTATTTTCATGCAACCCTCTTATTTTTTTTTCCAGAAATACAGTTTGTAGCATAGTACAAGAACTGACATAAAAAGGTTACTAATACTGATACTAATGTGACCTCTAGGCTAACTAAGGCCAATTCTATATCTATTGTTACATTACAGGAGAGCCTTTTTACAAGTACCATGAATACAGTCTCATACTTCAATACAGCTGAATTTTATTAATTCAGTACATATTTGGATTGGGGTTAATATTGTCCCTGTCTTATACTTCAGGACTGTAAATTATAATAAACTGAAACACTTTGTCATTGTATTTTTTACTACCTGTGGTTACATTGATCTTCCCAGTCTGGATACTCTTACAACTTATAGCTTTTCTTTTGGGTTTGTTTATTGCTAGCCTTCACGCTCCACTACCAGTCACAGAACTCGTTATTCTGTTCTTTCCTCCAGTCTAAATTATTTTGTATTTTCCATAGTATTTCAGTGACTATCTGATGGCAGGTAGGATCAAATGAATTGTTCCTCTCTAAAAGGAGGCTACCAGATCTTCCCAAACAACTCGGTTTTACAAAAGTAGGCTTAACTGAACTCCTTAACAGAGTTCAATTAAACTTCTCTGAAGGATGGAATTATTTGCCCTCTGTGTATGCTTAGTGTCAGTGTGGCAGAGCTTAACTAATGATCTGGTATATTTCTATACTTTTACAATTAGAAAGGAATGATATATGCTTTTCTCATTTGACATATTCTATTTGGATGTGAGAATTGCTTGGCAGATGGGAATGGTAGAATTAGGAAGGTTTTTTGAGGGGGGGTAGAGAATTTTAACTATTTTAGCTGAGAATTGATGGACACCAATTTTGCTGAAGCCTGGAAATTGAATCATAGAATATAAGGATTGAACAAGACCTTGCAGATCATCTAATCCAATCCCCTGCCTAGTGCAAGAATCCAGTCATCCCCCGACTCTCTCTCTATATTGTCCTATTTGTGTGTGTGTCTGTGTGTTTGTAGGACAAATGCTAGAACATTTTTTGTTCTACTTATCAGCGGAAATAGGAACTAATCTTTTGCTTTGGTGGACAAATATTTTGTGACCTGTGATGTTTACTGGAAAGGGTGTGTTGGGATAATCAGTGATGAAGCACCAGCTATATGCGGAGTAAGAAAGGGCACTGCAACTTGTGTGGAAGAGGTTGCTCCTCAGTGAACAGTTACAATTCTATTCACACTTCCTGATTTAAAAAAGACTCTATATTTTCAATTCAGTCCTGAAGCAATTTGTGAAAATTATGAACTCAATCATATTACAACTTTTGAGCACACATCTTTTCAGCATTGTGTAAGAAGAAGTGAACAGCAAGTACAACACTCTGTTTTTCTGCATGGAAGTGCAGTGGTTGCTGAGAGGCAGCTCCTCATAAAAGTTTTTGAATTGAGGATTAATTGATGACAGCAGTGAGGCTGGTAAACTCATTCTCTGTGCTCAAGTAATACATCTCAATAATACAATCAGTGCTCTGATTAGCTAACTTTCCCCTTCAGAATCAAAGTATCACAATGTTTAGTGTGAAAAACTAAATTTCAGTTTTTGCAGGTATAAATATTTGTATGCCCCTGATTACCAACAAGAATTTGACTCTTTCCCTACTCTTAGTGTTTTTCTCCATTCTTCAAAGGAAAAAATCAACAGTGTGTTAATAAGAACATTTGAAAGTCACATCTGGATGCTGCAACAGAACATTAAAGAATGCTTAAGGAACAAATCAGGAATCCAGTCACAGCTGTCTCTCAATTTGAATCCTTCAACTGAATTTTTGTTGAATCTCATGTTGAATTTCTGAGTTAGTGTGCTCTCTATCAACACAGCTGCCAAATACTTGCAGCTGTTTCCAGTGATCTACAATTGCTAGTTTGGATTTTCAAATCTAGTGGAAATAAAGAATAATAAAAGGAAGCAACCACAGATTTAGAACCTGAAGTAAAGCACAAGCTGTCTGCTATCAAGCCAGATATTAGTCATCTGGTACAAAAACAGAAACAGCATGATCCTTCTCACTGATATGAAAGACTTAGAGATTTCTGTTGAGGAACTCTCTTGTTGTTATATGGTATGGGGTGTATAAAATAATTCAAGTGATAAATACTTATATTTGGATTAAAAATTTTGATACAAAATTTAGTTTAAAAGAATGTTATAAATGAAGGGAATGGATAGACATAAACAAATGTGAATTCTTATGCTCTTAAAGACCAGAATATAGGGGTCTTTGTTTAACTGGGCAATCCTCCCAGCTTCAGAATCTTTATCTAGTAGTCTGTAACTGCAGAATGTTTGAGAAATATTATTTATATGTCTTATCTCAATATCTTCTGATGGTTTATTTTTGCAATGGCATTTCATCTATTTTTATTGGATCATAAGCACTAGTACCTGAGTTAAATGTTGATTATTTCTAATTGTGTATGTAGAATTCTAGCAGCAATTTGATTATATAAAATATGCTGTTTGATCTGAGTAGCATCTGTTTCTTTGCTTGATAAACATAAATCATTCAGTTTGTTCTATACATTGTGACTTAAAAGATATAAATGATTAATTACATTGACAGGTCTTTAAAAGATGCTAAAATGACACAGTTCTTTGGAAACAATTTTACTGAAGACAGATGGCGTAAAGCAGCACTGAAGAATGCTTTTTCGTTGCTAGGCAAGCAGCGTTTTGAACATTCTACAGCATTTTTCTTATTGGCTGGTCACTTAAAAGATGCAGTTGAGGTAACTAATATGTTTTCTTCAGGCAATTGAAAGAGTTTACAGTGCATTTATTAATATATTTACACATACTTAATGCTTTAATAGTACAAGCAGGATTTGAATGTTATGGCTGAAGTCTAGTGATATACAGTTCTCTGGCTACAAGGGCAGCTATATGCTTAGCATCGTCTAAATATGGTTCTGTCAGACCATGAATAGAAATGTGGTAATATACTTAAATTGATTGAAAATAGGAGTAGCCTTTTCCAATATCCATAAAAAACAAAAGGAGTTAAAAGTACATAGCATGCTAAACTATGGTTTAATGCAGAATGCAGAAATTTCCAGCCTGTGAACACTCTGAGTATAACCATGGTGCCTTCAGATCAAGCCTGGGCCATTCTCCTTAAGTCAGGCCCATTTACTCTTCCGGTTGCTGTATATGAAAAAGAACATAATAAAGCTGGGAAAAGTACATAAGAGGGCAACCAAAATGATATAGGGGATCTGAATGTTTTCCCTATGATAAAAGACTAGAATATTTGGCACTCTAGTTTGGATAAAAAGGGGTGGGATAAATTCATGAAGGACAAGTCTATCAAAGGCTACTAGCCTTGAGGATGCAATGTTATCTCTAGATTGGGAGCATCATACCCCAAATACCAGTTGCAAAGGAGCAACAGCAGGAGTTGGTTAAGTCTCCATATCATCCTTATAAACACTCCAGAGGCATCTGGATAGCCACTGTAAGAAACATAAGGCTGGATTAAATGAGCATTGCTTTTCTTATTTCTGACTTGATCCTTTTATAAAAAACACTCCTTTGTTCATTTCAATTAGGTCTGCCTAGAGAAATTAAATGACATTCAACTGGCTCTTGTAATTGCAAGACTCTATGAACCAGAATTTGAAATATCTGGTACTTACAAATCAATTCTTCAGAAGAGAATTCTGGGAAGTAAGCCTCATTTCACTGAAAGTCCATCAAAACCACATTTTGATCCTTTTCTCCGAAGTATGGCTTATTGGATTTTAGAAGAGTATAGTCATGCTCTTGATACTCTTTTAAACCATCCCATTTTGAATGAGGAAGGTAAGCTGGGACAGTTTAGATTTACCTTTGGAATGAGTGCATGTTATATTTAACCTTAAAACGGTAAACAAACTCATCTAGTATTCTGCATATTGTCCTGGGTGGTTCCCATGTAAGGCTGAAGAACTGTGGCCTCCAAACTAACAGTGATTTTGAAATGATTAAAAATCATCTAAACATAGCACATTACTAGAAGTACAAACCATTAGAGGTGCTGATTTCTCTTGTTGGCTGAAATTTGTTTTTACTATGTCACAGTGCTATCCAGAGCACCATCTTGAAGCTTTCTATGATTATTACATCACTGAATGTCAAGGAATCATGCTGTGATGGAATAAAATATTATAAGGAAAAGGCTTAAATATCTAATGATAAACCATTTTGTCATGTTAAGAACCAGAGTAGATGTACTGAACAAGATGATCAGTGATTAGACTGTTTCCTGTGTTCATAAAATAAAAGGGGAATCAGTGTTACCTCAGAGTATAAATGTTGTGTCATAATATTGACAGCAAGAAAATACCTGAATTATTTCTTTTACAAAAACAAAATTCTTCACTATTCTTTCATGCGATATCTTTTCAGATGAAGGAAGCTTCTCAAATTGTAGCCCTTCAGTATTTAATTTTTACAATTATCTAAGAACACATCCTCTCTTGCTGAGACGCCATTTTGGGTCTTCTGATTTATCTTCCACAAGGATTTGTGTAACAGGAGAAAATGGGCTGGCAGATGAAATCAATTTAGAGGAAAGAAGATTGTTCTTTACTGCAGCATATGCTCACTTAAAATCTGGCTGTCCCATGTTGGCTTTAGAAGTATTATCAAAAATGCCTAAAGTGATCAAAAAGTCAAAGTGTTTAGGAAGAACATTTAGTTTAAGGGACACCAGTAAAGGATGTTCACCATCTTCTCCATTGCTAGTGGAATCAAAAAGTGACAAATTTTTCAGCACTGACTTGTCAGAACCACCAGTGCTAAATGGTTTAGGATCTTTATCAGATGCATCATCAGACAAGCAGTCAAATTCTGCTGTTTTGTTAGATTGGAGTCAGCCAGCTGCAGTCTTCCAAGATGACCCATTGGAATTAAAATGGGACAGTGACAAAGATGAGGAAAGTGAGGATTCTTGCCTTGTAATGAAACCTTTGCAGAACATAGCAAGTGAAAAAACAAATGAAGTTAGTTCCAGCCGCACCGAAACCTACAGTTTAGGAGGTGAAAATGATGTCTTAACTTCATCAGAAGACATCATTTGTGCACAACTTAAGTTTAGGGCATGCTTGAAGATTCTTACAGAAGAGCTTCGTACATTATCCACTGGCTATGAAGTAGATGGTGGAAAGTTAAGATATCAGCTGTATAACTGGCTTGAAAGAGAAGTAGTAGCTCTGCAAAAGACATGTGACTATAGCATTGAAGCGGAAGATACTGAGAGAGGAATTATCCCAGGAATGGATGAAAATTCCTTAAATGAAAAAACTGAAGATCTGTCAGATGCACAACTAAAGGAAAATATTCAAAGAAGACAGTGGCTTATAAAATACCAGTCACTTTTGCGAATGTTTCTCAGTTACTGTATCCTCCATGGATCTCATGGTGGAGGATTGGCATCTGTACGAATGGAACTGATTTTGCTTCTGCAAGAATCTCAACAGGTAAGCAGAGGGCTTTTTTTTTTTTTTCCTGATTGATTAGGCTTGCCCTTAAATATTATTATTATTATTTGTCTGCGCTCAGTCATTGCTGACCCTGCAGTGACTGCTTGGACGAGTCCTTGCAGTTTTCAAGGCAATTGTTTTTCGGAAGTGGTTTGCCAGAGCCTCCTTCCTAGAGCATATTAAATATTAACACATAATAATTGAAATAAATTATTAACAAACTATTTATTTAGCTTATACTAGTTTGATCATATATTTCTGGCTCAGTATATCTGTATCTAGAATGATAGATAAATTTAAGCTATATATTTATAATTTTGTCTTCAAATAAAAACCACTAAATTTTAGATAACTTTTTCTCTATACAGAGTCCCTAAGTTCTTGCTTGAGCAAATTAAGTTATTGGCAATTTCCTGAAAATGGAGCTTGAACTGGAGTTTTGAAGTATAGACTGAAAGCTTGGCCTAGAAAGTTCAATGTTATGCTGCCTGCTAGCCACTGAGCCAACACTGAGGCATTGTTCCCAGACTATATTGCAACCTAAACAAACATTTCCCCTCAAAAGACTTGCATTCCTTGTTTTCTTCCACATTTAATGGTATTTCTGGGTCAGAAAAGACAATTATTCCAATTATGCATTGTGTTAATGTGTGTGTGTGTGTGTCTGTAGAAACAAATTCAACTTTGCAGGAAACTTGAAAACCAAAATTTACTCTTTATTTTCAACCCTATTTATAAAGGAATTTTCAGAGCAGTCATATGGTAATACTGTATCTGAGCAAAGTGCAATACCACTTCTTTTTGCCTGTACTGCAAGTGCCAAAACTGTGGTGGCCAATCCATTACAGCATCTTAGTAACCTGACGCATGATATACTACAAGCTGTTATTTCTCTTGACTCACCACCCCATCCAGACATACAGAATAATAAGGCAAGTATTTATAATGTGACAATCTTTTACTGAATTTTTTAAAGTTCTTTTTATTGTATGAATTACTGTAATGACAACCATATTTATGTATACATGTCAGAAGTTGTTTATTTTATGTTGAAATGAATGGCCATATGAATGGCCTTGCTTGAACAGGTGAAATTAAAACAGGGGATTCAAGAGTGTCTGAACAATTTTGTCTGAAATATAATGTGTTTCTTCCAGATACATGTAATGCACACATTAGCAGCATCTTTATCAGCTTGCATATACCAGTCTCTCTGTGGGGGTCATAACTGCAGGTAAATATTTTTTTTAAAGGTAAAGTTTTCTGCACAATGAGAACATCTTTATTTTTACCCTTCTGTTGAATTAGAATCATAATTTGGAATAAAAATGCATAAAATGTTACCCCTTATCTGCAGCTTTGCTTGTATTCTTCAAAAATGGGGTTAATTATTCTCTCATGATCCAAAGTATTAGGACCTCAACATAAGAAATGCTGCAAGTTAACAATGTCATAATTACTTTATGATACGATATTCATTAAAAGGTGACAACCATTATTATTATTGCTTATATCTTTAGCTCCAGATTCCATTTCTATATTTTTGGAATCAAAAATACTTTTTTGATAAACTTTTTAAATACTTTTACTAAAAAAATACTTTTTTTGATAAACTTTTTAAATAATTTTACTAAAAAAAATACTTTTTTTGAATACTTTTTAACATAAATTCGTACTTTTAACTAACTAGAGCAACTGACAAATACATTTGTTTTATATTGTTAGCTTAATCATGGTTTACTGAGCTAATGTTAAATTGGTTAAATTAGTGTAATGATAATTTACAAGTATAAAAAAGGCTACAAATTCTGAGATCAGGAATAAGAAGCAACTGTGGTTAAAGCAAAGTATATCTATTGAATGATCTAGATCTGATTTGCAGATATCCAAAAACTGATTTCCCCCCCCCTCATAATTATACTTTGCTGTTTCCTCACCACCTCTGCTAACATCACATTACTGTATTAGAAAACATTGTGTGTCTGAGAATTGGCAAGCATGTAGAAAGGTCTTTATTCCACTCTTAGTATCTCCTGATAAAGGCTGTAAAAACTCTGAAAAGCTAAATAATTATATTGCCAGTACAGGGTTAGGTGTACTGGCTCATTCAAACAAAGTTTGAGTCTACTTACCATTCGCTGCTGCAGAAACAGATTGTAGAATGCAAACATTCTTCCTTGAATTCTTTGGCCATTTCCAGCAAACATATGAACAGGGAGAAATATGCTCATTTTGCTTGTCCTTTGTGAGCAGATAGTACTAAGCTATTTTGCGACATGTCTCACAAGGCAGTATTGGCCAGCTTATTAAACATTTCCTTCAAATCCTCTTGAACAACCCTTTTTTCTCAGTATAATCATTCATAATAAAGGGTTAAGATTCTATATCATATTCAGTATATTCTGTATTGGTTTTTGTATTATGGGTTTTAGTTCGGTAAGCCACTTGGAGTTGGGCAGCCATATAAATGTGTTTAATAAATAAATATCATAACTTCACTATGAGCAAGTGTTAAGAAAAGAGATAAGGGCTGGAGGACTTTTACAAAGTTCCAGTCAGGGTTACAACTGTCTGTAGATTACAGCAATACCTTTATCAGGCTCAACCAAAGAGAGCAAAACAGCTGGAGAGATTCCATGTTTTCAGAAACTTTTAATCAGGAAAGATGTTACTAAAAGATTTAAGGGAGTGCGACAGGTACAGACAAAAGAAAAAACAGTTTCTGTATCTGAGGATATTATTAAAAGATGTTTACAGTAGAGGATGTTCAATCCTGATCCAAGGGTCGAGACTTCTTTGTTCTGGGGATTAGTATATATTGTTCCTATTTCCTGAGCTGTATGTTCTAAGCCAGTGTTGTCCAAACTTGGCCACTTTAAGATGAGTGGACTTCAATTCAACTCGTTAACAACTCAATAGAAAAAACCCTGCCTAACCCCCAGGAAGATACACACATATTC